ATCTGCCCTCTGACAAGTGACAACCCCCTCCCCGCTGTCCTCATTTTCCCCAAGACTAAAAGGAAAAAAAAAATTCCATCATTCCATTTTTGTTTTCTTTTTATATCAAAACACCTCATCCAAATCCCAGCGCACTCCGTCTCAACGCACGCTCTCTCACATTCTGGTTCAACAATTAATATATTTGGTTGCTTATGCGGTCAGTCATGGAGGTGTTAGCTTACTTCCGAGACTATTAGCATTAGCAAGTGTTCGACTGACTTAAATGCTGCAAGCAAAAGTACATTGTATGCTGCATGGGGAAAAAAGTAGGATCCTCTTGGTTGACCGCTGTCAAAAGGGCATTTAGATCTCCCAGTAAAGATAGTGAGAAAAAGAATTGCAGAAGGAAAGATGGTGACAACGAAGATGAACCGGAGGAGGAAGAAGAAAAGGTGCACCCACCGCCCCTGGGATCCTCCGTGCCATTTTTCCTTTTTTTTTTTTTTTTTGTAGTCCTACTGCTCAATCTAGTACAGTAATTTTCACTAGATACATGTTTTTATGTGTGGACAATCATTTCTTTTGTTCATTCTGAATTGGCGTATGCAGAGAAGGGGGAAACGAAGATGGCTCTTCCGGAAGCCGACCAACCACGAAGGTTTGACCCAACAAATGCCCGCGCTTAAACCACCAAATGCAGTGGATATCGCCGCAGCATCTGGATCCATGACTGCTCAAGCAGCTGCTGCGGAACAAAGGCATGCCATTGCTGTGGCAGTGGCGACCGCAGCTGCTGCCAAGGCCGCAGCGGCCACAGCCCAGGCAGCAGCAGAAGTTGCCAGGCTTGCCAGGCCACCACCTTCAAATTATGCGAGGGAGCATCATGCTGCTACTCTTATTCAAAGAGCTTTCAGAGGGTACCTGGTGAGTGGGTTTACAGATCTCGTCTCTGCTTGACCTGGGATACTTCTTCGTAGTTTTATTGAATTAGTTGCGGATCTCACCCGAACGTTTTCCTTTCTTTAAATGAGTACTACTGCTACTGCCTACTACACCTTACGTGGGGCCTAAACAAAATGAAAATGGAAATGCAGAAGGTTTGTGACTGTCTCGCAGAACAATAATATCAGCAGCAATTAGTAATTGTGATTTACTCATCAGACCTCTATTATTTGGTTGGTTGATAATGACAATTAATGTATTCAAGGTCTTCTTTTGAGGTTAAACCCTGCTTAATTATTTCCTGGGCTAAAGAAAAAAAGAGAACTGAAATTGGATAGAAGCAACCAGGTCGAGTCCCGGTGTATGTAATTCCCATTTTAAGACTCTGCTAATTCTCGGAAACTGGTTGAAAATTGCATACTTAGGTCCCGTTTCGACTGATATTATTTTCTGGAGTTTCCTTAACCAATCATATCTCCTCGTCTCGTCTCTTTCAATCATTCTGCTAAGTTAGCATAGCTAAGGGTGAGGGAGAGGGTCACTTTGTGATTTTTTTATTTGAAGGCAAGGAGAGCTTTTCGTGCGCTCAAAGGTCTGGTAAGATTGCAAGCATTAGTAAGGGGTCACAATGTCCGGAAGCAAGCCAAGATGACCCTCAGATGCATGCAAGCCCTAGTTCGAGTGCAGGCTCGAGTACTTGACCAACGAATAAGGCAATCTAGTGATGGAAGCAGAAGATCGACTACATTTAGTGACACCAACAGCATCTGGAGCTCGCGCCATCCACAGGACATTTCTGATCGAAAATCTATGGTAAGGGGCTGCTGTTTGAATGCAGTATCACCTGATCAGGCTTTCGGGTTAGTTGCCTAATGTGTTTTGTGACGCTCGTCCATTTGATTAGTCGAGAGATGGCAGTAGCATTCCCGATGATTGGGATGATCGGCCACACACTATAACCATTGAGGAGGTCAAAGCGATGTTGCAAGATAGGAAAGAAGCTGCTTTAAAGCGGGAGAGAACCTTATCTCATGCCTTCTCTCAGCAGGTTCTTCCTCTTCCTCTATAGTATAATAGTAGCATATGTTCTTCTTCCTCCTTTTAATTTGGACAAATTTTGTTTCAATATTAGACTAGTATTTATTATTAATAGCCTAAATGTATATGTTTTGCGCACCAACAGATGTGGAGAGCAGGAAGGAATTCATCTTTCGGCAGCGAGAATGAGCTTATTAGGGAAAATCACCAACGGCTGGATAGATGGATGGCCGCAAAGCCGTGGGAGAGCAGCAGGGGGAGGGCATCCACCGATCAAAGGGACTCTGTTAGAACTGTTGAAATTGATACTGCTTCCAATTCCCGCAGGCCGAGCCAACATCAAAGGCCTGGCTCACCTCTTCATAGGTCGTCCCAACAAGCGCAATCTCTCCACTCTCCTGTCACACCTTCTCCGTCCAAAACAAGGCCTCTCCAGGTCCGGTCCGCCAGTCCTAGATATGCTGCAGTGGAAGAAAGATGCGGCCATACTGCTCAAACCCCAACACTGAGGTCTAATTACCACCATTACAGCGGTGGTGGCCTGCACCAACAATCCAGAGGCATGACCAGTGCGGTGCCTAATTACATGGCCGCAACAGAATCTGCTAAAGCTAGAATCCGCTCTCAGAGTGCACCGCGACAGAGGCCCGCCACTCCAGAGAGGGAAAGGGCCGGCTCGGTTAAGAAGAGGTTGTCGTTTCCTGTCCCAGACCCATATGGTGCAGGCACAGGCTACGGAGATTATATGAGAAGCCCAAGCTTTAAGAGTGCTTGTGGAGTGCATCTGGGGTTTGAACAGCAGTCTAACTATTCATCTTGCTACACCGAGAGTCTGACAGCAGGGGAGATTTCACCATCTTCGACCGGCGACTTGAGAAGGTGGTTGAGGTGATTGAGCATTGAAGGGGAAGAAGAGAAAAGCTTCGATCGAGCATTAGATTTGGAGGGCCCTCGTAATCTGTACTATTTGCTTCTTCAACTCCAATTTGACTGCGTATTTTTTGCTTAGTTCCAGTTATATTTATGTCCCCTCTTTGCTCGTCAGCTTTTGATTCATTTACTTCGCGTCCTTCAATTTTAGATTTCCTATAAATTGATTTTTTTTTTTATAAGGGAAAGAGTCCTGTGGGGAACACGACCTATAAGGTCGGCCCAATGTTTTTTATTTTGTTATTATTGATTATTTGGATAATGCTACATATATATATATATATATATATACACACACACATACACGCACACACTATCATAAAAGAGGGAGTTTGCAAGTGAGTGATTGTCGACGGACCGATCGAATTCAACAATCAATTTTCGTCCCATTAGTTGTGTGGATGTTGTTAAACTAATGAGTGATTGCTTTGTCTGAGAAAGATCTCTGCACATTCAACTAGCATGATTCGGTGCTGCAATGCCAGTATGATTCTTAGTTAAAGCCACTGCTGAATGTAACGAATCAAAATCATAGGGTAGAATGCTACAATTTGGCTCTCAATGACTAACTGCTAAAAGAAACAGGTAAGGCAGCCCCACTTGTGTTCAATTGTAATCTAATGGAGCTGCAGATTACCTTGCAAGAAAACTAGATTCTGCAGGCTTTGAAGTGTTCAATTGTAATTGTGCCATAAGAGTTGGCCAAAAAATTTAGATGATGATAGGAAGGGAACTCTTGCTACGTAGAGGGGTTAAATTCTCTTCCGAAAACTCATGCACATTTTAACCGAGTTCTTCCTTACTTTCAAAACGATGCACACCCTGCTACTCACATTATACATCTTTCAATGTTTAAAGTTTGAATAAATTTTCTCTGTACACTATCACTGTTGGATTCATAACATGTGTACAAAAGTTGAATTTCAAATTCAATTTTTGCATAATTGTCATTCATCCAACGCTATGCACTATCTATCAGTGTAAGACAAATTAATCCCAAAATCTTACCTTCAAAACTTTGGGCTTCTAGAACAATAATGAAAAGGATCTAACAGAAATCTCGTGGAATTTGGATTGAGGACATTCTCACTTAAGTTCGGTTTGATAAATCAATTCAATATTTCAAACTCAAACATAATGGATTTAGATCGTAACGTATTCAGACGCGTTTGATAACAAAAAATTGAACAACAGGTGATAATGATTTTTTTTTTTTTGTTTTAATGCAAAACTTACTTTCAAAGCTAAATAAAAAATGCATTCTGGCTGTTGGAGGTGAAGTTAAATCAAATAGGCATGCACCATGCAGCAGTGGTGGGAATCTCCCCCCGGCCCTTTTCAGCCTTCTCTAGCCCAGTTTTGGTGGATATTTGGAGCGTGAGCTCGGAATATCACTTGTCCCGATAGGATTCGTTTCGTGCTGACTTGCCAATTCGATTAGGAAGCTGATGGGTAGGAAAACACGATGTTTCGGTTGGGCCAGACTATGTGGCGGACAGGCAAAAGACATTTGTACTTGGGTAGTGGCGTATAAATTTAAAATGTTACTTTGGTTCCAGAATGTATTATTAGACAGTTAGGAGGAAGATGATTGACATATATATATATATATATATATATATATGTCTGTTGAACAGAGAAAAGATTGAAGGATTAAGGTTTATTTATTTTGTTGGTATTTAATTTGCACAAAAAGCGTATAAATATCTATCTGTATTCTGTACACTAAAGGATTTAAGTTGCAGTGCACAGTTCTGGTTGAAATTCAGTCCGATTATCCGTCGTACACCCGGCTGCTGCTGAATTGTTGTGTAGTGTACAATAAGAAAAAGAAGAGATTAAATGGCTGGTGAGTAGCGGGTTGTCAAACTGTGTCCGACTCGGAAGGAAAGAGTTACAAGTTAGGGGGCCAAATTAGGGCCACTCTAAACAATTTTTTTTTTTTCTTTTAATTTGGTTTAACTGTCGTCGTGGTGTTTCGAGGGAGAGAGAGAGAGAAGAGAGTGGTTCGGTTCCTTAATAAGTAGTCCCGTCTGCGCGGCTTGTTGCGTCTCTTCTCTCTCTCTCTCTCAATATTACTACTATCTTTCTTGTTTCAGGTATTTAGCTCTCCCTTCTTCCCTCAAATCCCTCCACATCCACCATCAACAATACAACTCCCCCCAGATGCAGAGAAAAATAAATTAGTAGAAAGTCAGCCCCAATTTCATTTTGAAACCCCCCCCTCCCCCTCCCCCCAAAAAAAAAAAAAGAAAAAAAATCGATACTTTTCCCCTTAACAAAACAAATTCAGGAAGAAAGAGAAATCAAAAGAAGGCAAAGATTTACTGCTATCTCTTCTATCTCTTTTGGGTTTTGCAAAGTCTCGGTCATGTCTTCTTCTATACATATCTTATATGTGTGTATATTGCTCTCTCAAGCTCTGCTACTACTACATGTGGCCCTTTTTCTTTTATCTTTGCTTATCCCAACCTGAACTTCCACCATGAGCCTTTGAATTTTTCTGTTTTTGAGGTATCCCTTTATTTTGCATTTATTTATTTATTTATTTTAGCTTTTTTAATCCTTATTACTCCCTCTGCACCGGCATTTTAATATGTTCATATTCGTACCACTCTGCTCAATTCTGTGTTTTACTTCCATTCATTTGCCTTTACATCTGCTCTTCTGCATCACATGTGAGGTTATTTATTTTGCATCCAATTCCACACCTGCCTTCCTTTTACATACTTTTCTGTTTCCCCTTAACTGCTTATCATTCCGGGAAAGTTATTGTCCATGTCCAACCCAAATCTAGGGGTTCGGTATTGTTTGCTTCTCCTCTTTTCACTATTTGCCAATTTTCTGTCATTCTATGCTCTTTGCGATGTCCTTGCACTGTCGTACTTTTGCCTATCTTGGTGAAACTTTACTTGAAATTTCATGCCACTGTTCCTAGCAGCGGTCGGCTTCCATTCCGACTAGTTTTTTTTTTCATATTTTTTGTCAAAAAGATAACAGATCATATAACTTAGATTTGTTGCAAAGCTCTTAGAGCAACTGACCTTCTAAATCTGCTCGAGCATTCCCTTTGCGACTAACTAGTATTAATGTTGTCTATTTCTCTTTTCAAAACGAAAAGATGGGGAATTCGAACTTGAAAGAGTTTGGGATTGTCTCTGCTGGATTTTAGTTTACTGCCTTTTGTTAATTACCCCTTTCTTTCCGTTGTCCAGTTATTCTACTTTTGCTTGCATTTTAATCAACTACATCCTATTTGTCATCTTTTACTAAAACTTTGCGTTTTGCTTGACCAGGTAACTCTAATTGCGTTATCCCTGACAGAATTAGCTTTTAATGATCTCTGTGTCTAATTGTGTGTGAAACTTTCCATGCTGTCATATAGACGTTATCTACTCTGATAGATCATAGTACCACTTTACCTGATTCTCGCTGGCAAGATTTTTTGCTGGCAGCGATTTTGGTGGACACGAGTGTTGAATGACAAGATCTGTAACATATTGTAGCCATGGCTGAGAATGCTGAAATTGATGATCGAGTGGATTTTGATGATGACAACTATATTGAAGAAGAAGATGATGTTGAGGAACAGATGGAAGATGAAGGTGCAGGAGAGGGGGCTGAAGAAATTGGCGAAGACCAAGATGAACAACATGAGGACTTGCAACCTGGGGATTCTGGGAAAGAGCAGGTATTCGAAGGCGTCAGGAACGACCTTGGTGCTGAACTTGCAGAAAACGTGGGAAACCCGAATTCCTCCAATGATGTGGTAGAGAATGATGAACATGCTGAACTTCTTGGCCTTCCTCCTCATGGTTCTGAAGTATTTATTGGTGGACTTCCCAGAGATGTTTCCGAAATTGACCTCAAGAATCTTTGTGAATCCATTGGTGAAATTTTTGAGGTCAGTTCCAAGGCTGTGAAGAAATTCTATAGCTATGTATGGTTGTGGTCCAAATGTAATTGTCTAATTTTGATCGTTTTTGTCCTTTGCAGATAAGAGTAATGAAAAATAGGGATACTGGTGAAAGCAAGGGTTTTGCTTTTGTGGCATTCAAAACAAAAGATGTTGCTCAAAAGGCCATTGAAGTACTACATAACAAAGAGTTCAAGGTAACTTTTGCAGAATCTATCTAGCTTTTTTATTTTCTTGGCAGTATTTCTCGTCGAATTTTATGTGTTTTGAGTAGACCTATCTAGTTTATTTTGAAATATTCTTCTAATTTGTACCTTCTTCTGTGTTCCACGAGTATAGGGAAGAACCTTAAGGTGTTCACTGTCAGAAACAAAATACCGATTGTTCATTGGCAACATCCCTAAGGTTTTGACTGATAATGACTTCAGAAAAGTCATTGATGACACTGGTCCTGGAGCCGAAACGATTGAGCTTATAAAGGTTTTTCTCTTCTCCCCTTAAATATCCAGAGTTGAATACTGTTATAGGTTTAAGTCTTTCACTATTCAGCATTCAACTTGAAGCTGGTCTCACTGGTGATAATCTCAATATACAGGATCCACATAATCCAAATCGTAATCGTGGGTTTGCTTTTGTTGAATATTACAATAATGCCTGTGCTGATTATTCAAGGCAAAAATTGTCTAATACTAGTTTTAAGCTAGAGGGCAATACCCCAACTGTCACCTGGGCTGATCCAAAGATCACACCTGATCATTCAGCTGCTGCTGCTCAGGTATTGTCCCAAATTCATGCAAATGGTTGATTTTTAAGATGTGAAAGTTTTTTCCCTCCTTTTATTGAATTTTCTTTGCAGTCTGATCTTTTACCAGTATGTCCGCATATTGAAGATGTTAACTTGAAGCTTATAGAAGGTTTAGAGCAGCCTTTGGCGTGTAGATGATGAACTTCCATAAGATTTCATTCACTCAACATGCTCTAGAAGTAGATATTTTGGATGAACTCACAATTTGATATGATATTAGCCCTGTATTAAAAGTACGCAAAGTTCTTGATTTTGTGTCTCACCGATATATTTTATAATTCTAATACATGCGTCTCCCACGTCAGATGCAGTATCTATGTTGTCTTGAAGCCAATATTTAGGGCATTCACCATTTTAGCAACTTAATTCTTAGATTCAGTGTTAATTCAATACCTTTTCATAAGCAGCTGATGGGTATTGCTAAAGAATTTGTATTGCACATATAGTGGCTTAGGACTATTGTTGTTTGGACAGGCATTAATTGACTTGAACATTAATTACATGGGCAAGGTGTGTCCCTTTCAACTATTGGTTGACAACCACCATTGTTTCTTTGCATCCTTAGTTGGGTCTGACTGCTTTTAGAAAGTCATAATGAAGTTCTTTGAGGAACTGTCATAAAGAGAGGGCAGCAAAGTTGGTTTATAAATTGGTGCTGCCACCTTGTTATTTTCGGAGGGGGTTCAGAAGATAAATAACCAGAAAATCCTACATATGAACTGATGTAAAACTCTTCATCAATAACATCTTGTGGAACTTTAGCATGCAAAGGCGGAATATCATGATGGGGTGGAAAGATGATTCAAGAATTTAGAAGTTCAGTAGTGGTATATCTTATCTATGGTTTGACTCAGAGAATATCAATTGCTGGACTTCAGTATGAACTGTCACTTAGACTAAAAAAAAAAAAGTTGACATGGAGTTTATGAGCAACAACACTTGTTTTTCATAGTTTGTTTATTCTGGTGTAAAAGGAGCAGTTTGCAGTGATGTAGACTAAGCAGTCATCTTAGTATCAAAACTTAATTTTTCTTTACTTTAAGCATCATCCCCTGATGCAGTTACATACTCAGGACATCTTTCAATTCTGTTTTAAAAATGGGGAAAAAATTTTAGCACTGTGTTGGACAATTCATGTGATGGAATTGCTTGCAATGTCTTCATCAGTGTTGCCGGAATGACTTGCTGCGCTTCACTCAACCTCCCATTAATGTATTCTTGTTTTTTAAATTCTTCAAAGGTTTTACTTTTTGGGATAACTTGACTGCTAGTATCCTCTAGCTAAAGGTTATTATACATGTTATATCTGTTAATGTTAAAGATAAATTTTCTATCTCATCGAAAATAAGTGAATCAAGAATTTTACAATGATAGTTGAATCATATCATTCCTTTTCACTTTTGAAGCTTTTGTGATACTGGATTTCTGGCTTAACACACATAAGCGTGTTACAGGTCAAGGCTCTTTATGTGAAGAACATACCTGAGAACACCTCTATTGAACAGTTGAAGGAACTGTTCCAGCAGCATGGGGAAGTCACTAAAGTCATTATGCCGCCTGCCAAAAGTGGAGGCAAACGGGATTTTGGCTTTGTCCATTATGCAGAGAGGTCAAGTGCTTTGAAGGCAATCAAAGAAACAGAAAAATATGATATTAATGGTACTTTCTGGGTCTACTTTGAGTCGGATAAATTATAATTTCAAAAAGTTACGAGCATATAATAAGCAATTTTGGGGGTAATATTGAAGGTTTGTACATGTATAGAGATGACCAATGAACCTTTTTAGGTGAAGGGTTAATGGTGGATGTACTTGGCTCTAGGTTGACAGTTTTGATGGATTTATGAAATGCCAATTAGATTGATTTGCTTGAACAAAACCATAGTATGCTTAACAGTCAATTTTGTGCTTCTCACTTGTCTCGGATTAGCATATGCCATACGTTGCTCAGCCTTCTTATTTCCTTGTCATTCACTAAGTCTTCTGTCTGCACCTATTCAAAGTCCAAACATCACTTTGTTACATTTCTAACCACTGTAAACGAGACTGTTGAAAGATCTGGTCATGTTTCTAGAAGCATAATTTTGTGTGATGAATTAGGTATCTGAATATGTGTATCTCATGTCCGGCTTAGTATGGTCCTTTTCAACCTCTTTTCTTCTTTTAGCTTCAGTTAAAATGCGATTTATATTTAGAAACAGTAGGTGATAGATCTCCTCTGATCTCGATTTTCTATTCAAGGCAAACTAAAACACCGACACCAACTTTGGCAGAACTGTTGACTGCTAATTCTTGTTTCATTTAGTGTATGTCGGTGTGCATGTTTCTGCGCATGGAGTTTGAGTCAGGATGATGTCATTTTTTCCTCTTTGTTGACATGCTGCTGAAGAAATTAGATGAACCTGAAATATGCAAGTATCAAATGCTATTCAGTCTGGGCTTGAGCCCTTGAGAGTTGGTCTCGTTTCTTTCCTCAGTTTGGCTAATTATAGTAAGTTTTGTGGGAATCAGGCCAAGTATTGGAAGTGGTCCTTGCAAAGCCTCAGAGCGAAAAGAAGTTTGATGTGGCTCATCATTCTCCCAGTTCTGCACCTCTTCCTAATTTTATCCCTCCTTCTGGGTATGGTGGTTTTCCCATGAATCCATTTGGCCAAGTAGCTCCTGGATACGGTGCGGTGGCTGGATTTCAGCAGGTACTTCTAATCCAGACTTTAGTAGCCTATGAACTGAATAATGTGTGCTTTGCTAGAAAGTTGCTTATTTCATGGTTTTTTTTTTTTTTTTTCACTTTTCAGCAGCCTATGATATATGGCAGGGGTCCAATGCCGGCAGGGATGCAGATGGTGCCAATGGTTCTCCCAGATGGGCAAATTGGCTATGTTCTGTAAGTTGCCCTTCCCTTCCACTGTGGTTTTGGCTTTGGAGGTGAGATTCTGACTGGTTTTGGTTTTAGCAGTCAGCAGCCCGGCATACAGATGCCGCCAGTCCGACCTCGTAGGAATGATAGGGGCAATGGCGCTGGCCGAGGAGGAACAAGTGCCAGCAGTGATGACACTGGGCGCAACAGGCGGTATCGGCCATACTAGGAGACCATTGATGTGATGTACTGGACTCAGATTGTTAGTTATGCCTAGCTACACCTAAAATTTAGTCTGCTCGTCTTACTGGCTATCCGGAGCATATAAGAGGGGGAATCAGATTAGAAGAAATGGCCAGCAACGTGGTTAGCAGGGGGGGCTGTAATTCATCCCGGGCTGTTGATGGCGTTAGGACCTACCCTTGATTTTTCACATTGCTTGTTTTTTTTTTTTTGTTATTTTTTTCCCCTATCATGTGATCCAAAGAAAGGAAAAAAAAGGGAACACTAAAAACGAAGGTCATGGTGTGGCGAGAGTGTAGGCTTCGTACAAGCAACCTCCCAAGCTTCTCGAGTGTCGAAAACAATTTCTTCTTTTGAAGAAACAATGTGGATGCGAATGCCTTTTAAAACATTAATCTTCCATTTCTTGCTTTTATCTGATCGTTTAAAGATGTTGGATCTATAGAACAACCCCAAAAGAAAGTGTTGTACGAATGTCGTTCTCGTTTGAGAATTCATATATTTCTTCTTCCCGTGAACGGAGCTTTGATATTGAAGAGATGCGGAACCGGGAAAGAACGCCATACATTTTACGTGGAAGAATAAAAGGAGTTTGTACAATACACAAAGGAATTGAGCCTCTCAAACTGAAACTCATAATAACTCTAAAAAGGTGTAGTTGGAATTTCGCTAAACATCCATAAGCAAAAGCTCTTCAAGTCTCTTCTCCAGAGCTTCCAACCGAAACCCCCAATCACTTTGGATGGACAGCCAGCGAGGCCCAGCATTAGTATTACTGCGGTCATCATCCACCTCCACGGCCCTCCTCATCTCATCTTCTTCTTCTTGGTTTGCATTGTATCTCTTCTGCCGCTGCTGCTGGTATTTCTTGGCTTTCTCAGCTGTGGCTCTTTGTAATGCCCACAACACATCAGAGCCACTCAACTGCCTCCTGTCTTCACCGCCTCCCCTTTTTGCCTCTTGCTTGGCAGCTCTGTCTTGCTGGTTTCCTTGTTTTTTATTACTACTAGGCCCTTTCACTCTTACTCCAGGCGAGGAGGAGGAGGAAGAGGAGGAGGGGGGCTTCAGTTTTTGTTGCTGCTGTACCTTGGATTTGAAGGCAGTGAGGACGGCGACCTGGCCCCCAACACCAACATTATTCTGCCTGCGCTCTACGTTAACATGCGTATCGCGGCAGCAATTTTCAGGCCACCGGGAGAAAGCAAATGAAACACGGCACCTCTGGGGTGGTAGTCTGACATCGACAGGGGTGGCGGTGGAGAGGGAATTATTGTGGGTGAAAGATGTTGGTGGAGCAGCCCACATTTCTTCTGCTTTCGGGGCTGCTCTTCCTCAACTTCGTTTGCTGGCCCTGCTTGCGTGCTAGTCAGAGGTGTAGATTCTTACACTTTAGGCACCGACATGATCTTAAACATGTGGCCCAGGACGATTTCTATTTCTTGCTTCTCCAGAAATAGGAATTCGCCTCTCGTCGGGCTTAAACCTGGGCCTTGCCGATTTCGACCCAAGATCTTACAAAGTTGCTCATCATGTCTGCCTGCTTTTATGGCTTCATAAGAATTTTGCCAAAGTTTGACTATAAAAAGTAAGCAATTATAAGAAAGGTCAAGCTCAAAGCTAATCTTGTATGGATTCGAAATTTAACTCTTTTTTGGTTGGCTATCCAAAAAAATCAGCATCAAAATGCAAAAGCAAACCGCAGCCATATCGAAAAAAAAAAAAAAAATTATCCATCCAAAATTAGTTGAAATCTTTGATCAAGAATAGGTAGATACTAGTAAATGAGGTACACCCGACTTGCATACAATAAACACAAATGAAAACACATGTAAAGTTGTTTTCTTGAAAACTGTGAAGTATTACGATGCAAAATGCAAATTACAACTCTACATGATTTTCTCTCCGGAGCAATCAATACTACTGATCTTCTCGGCAAATAATTTTGGGTGTGCATTTAAGGCCACGTAAGTTTTTGTCAGACATTATTGAAAGGGGAAGGGGAACCTCTTTTTAATCTCTCACTTCTCACCAATATGCTCAAACGCTCTAGTTATGCAATTCTATAATACTTTTAATGAACACACCAACTAAAGTTAATATAATTCGATTATCATCTTTCTTACTTTTTTTTCCCCATAAAGTGTTATGCAATTAATAAAGAGATGAGTGTGGATGTTCATTTATCTTCTCGATATATATACATTGGAATATTCATTTTCCTACAAGGTTTATTGAGGCATTTTTTTTTTTTTTTTGTAGTTACGTTAGTTCATTATAGAATTATTTAATTCATATGTTTGACGTATTAAATTTATTTATGGATCTTAAATAGAGTTCATGTACCTTTAATCTTGTAGTGCTTACAAGGAGAGGGAATATAAACCTCATTTATAACCTTTGAAACCATTATCACTATTTCCTTGCCTCTATTCTACTTCCTTTATTCTCTGCTTTTAATAGTTTATATTATGAATAAATCTCACGTGCACTAACAGTGAATACACTATTACTGTTAGATCCATGATATATATATATATGTGTGTGTGTGTGAAAATTGAATTTTAAATTTAAATTTTATATAATTGTCATTCATCCAACACTGACTGACAGTGTAGGAAAAATTAATCCTCATTTTATTAGTTTCACAACATAAAGCAAATATAAGTCCAGCAAACAAACAGAAAGCACATAAGTCAGCAAGTGCACTGGGAAAAAGGGCTTCAAACCTTTCAAATTCCGTAAATTATATTGAGAAGATGATGTGGAAAGGGTGTTGAATGCCTTGGCTTGGTCCTAAAAAACAAAAACAAAAAACAAAAAAACAAAAAATAAAAAGAAAAGGAAAAAATCTCGTGAATGAAAAGGACGCACTACAATTTTTCGTGCAAGTGGGGTTTCCAGGCGTTCAACCATTCTATGGTACCAATTTAAACTCTGGAAACATGCACGGTCCCTCTAGGTTCTTTCCTTTTAATATATATATATATATATATATATATTTTTTCTTTTTAAGTGACACGTTATTTTTCTTAGCGAAAGTAACTTTCATGTTTGAGTAGAGATCATGTTTCTTCTCCATATAGAAAAGAAAGAATGACACCAAATGTTTATACTAACTGTTATTTTAGCCCAAAAACTTTGCCAAGATAGATAAGTTGGTCAAAGCTTGATGGAGATCCTATTGTTTCTCATCTGTTTCACTTAAATTTTACTCCGGCGGTGGGGGTTGGGGACCAACCATATGCAGGCTGGTTAGTCACCCACTGAAACCACGAACCGCTGCTACATAAACAATACTACTATATCACGTTTTTTTATTTTTTAACGCTTAGGAAGCAATGGCCAATGTCCACCGCCTGTAACATATTATAGTCCTCTCGTCCTCATGGTTAGGTGATCGCTTAGGTAGCAATGGTCAATACCTGCTACCTGTGATAGGCATTTAGCTTTGGTAGAAATCTCTCTGAGGTTAGCATTATTAGTCCTTGCTGACACTCAAGTAGCAGCACTGGCAGCGGTACAAATCTAAGATGATGGAAATGGGTGTTGACCATGTAGGGATACACACAACACACACGTCTCTATTTTATAGGCCTCCTTTTAGATTTTAAAAATTACATTAACCTCCCTTAAAATCTATTATCTTATAATATTTAGGTCCAACTAACAATTAAAAAGTGATATTTAGAAAGAGAAGATAGCATGATTTCACCGTTGTCTCTCATCTATCACATTATTTAATGAATCTAATACTAATCCACACATTAAAAAAAATTACTCAAATTTGCTATTTATCATCGGGGATCAAATTACATATAGCATAAAAAATGGTATATCATCTATATTTCACTTAATGAAATATTCAAGTTACTCTTTTTAGTTACTGATGCATCGTCAAACATGATCAACAATAAATAGTCGGAAAAATATGCAACCTAAACATTACAGAGAGTGAATATTAACATCATTAATATATTTGTCAACAACTAACTTTAATATGTTGACAAATATATTTATGATGTTAAAATTCACTCTCTGTGATGTTTAGGTTGCATATTTTTTTTATTATTTATTGTTGATCATATTTGACGATGGGTTTCTAATTGAAAATAGTAATTTGGATCTTATACTAAGTGAAAAATGTAGGATGATGTACTATTTTTTGATATTATATGTGATTTAACCCTTGGTGATAGGCAATAAATTTTAATATTTTTCTTTAATGTGTAGATTGGTATTAATTTAACTAAATAATGTAGTAGATGAGGAGCAGTGGTGAAATCATGTTATCTTCCTTCTCTTAATATGACTTCTTAATTACTGATCGAGTCTAAATGTTATAAGTAAGATAATTAACTTTAAGAGATATAAGTGTAAATTTTGAAACTTGAAGGGAGACCGGTGAAATATTTAGAAACCTTGGGGGAGATTTCTAAAATTATCCCTAACTAATAGTATTAAGACAGTCTAACGTGGAAAGTTGAATTTTAGTCACAAGAATTAGCTACTGTAGCCTTTGTCCTGTTTTGCCCTCTGCTCTACCGCAGCTCAATAATGAATTGAGTGGAGGAGGACCAAACAAATATACAACCAGCTTCCTGCTTTCATATTTCATGTCTGTCTCAGTCGTCACACACACAGTTGGCCTACCCAACCAGAACCGGCCTTCTTCATCCAAATAAAAAAAAAAATTTTTTGTTTTTGAGGTAAGAAAGACTGGAATTAACTAAAAATAAAAGTTTACAACCTTCGAGTGCCTTCTTCATCATTTGCGCTCGCAGCTACAAGACACAACCATAACCACACAGCCGGACGCTGCTAGCTACCGGAGCACCCCGCCAGAAATACGTTTCGTAATGGGCAGAAACTCGCGTAGACCCGAATGGTATACTGCATGCCACATCACCGACATTAATTAAAATATTCAGAAATTATTCAACGCTAACTGTCAATAACTCTAAGCGTCTCTCTCAATTCTTTCCTCTCTTTTGAGGATTCCTCTGTTGGTCACAGCAATATTGATTTTAATTCTTCAATTTTAATGGAAAGTGGCAATTGCTAGCGCCTGGTGAATGCTTGAAAGTTGAAATTCAACATTGAGATCTGAGAGAAAAGATGGAGTTTACACCGCAACCAGGACTATAATCAACGAAAATTTGCTTGACTCCTCCAATAGTACTCGACTTAGCTTTTAACATACATAGACCTTCTCATGGTCTTGTGATCATGGAGCAGCATCGTGGTTGATACAGAGATTGGGTATCTAATACTGAGCAAATTATACTATAAGAGAGGAGAAAGCTAAAACGGCTTATATGGAGGCTGAGGGATGACTCGTTAGATCAAACAAATGCATTAATGCATTCTTCGAAGTTTTTAAAAATAAGATGT